TATCTATGAATTCGGTTTCGAACTCAAATGAAGGAACTTTCTGGGAACCTGGAATTAATTAGTGAATCAGTTAAGAGCGTTCGGCTACCTGATTTATTAATTTATAATGTTTCAAATATCAATTAAAGTGAAATATCTACAAGGGATATGTACTATTTTAGAATTTGTCGTAAACTATTTCTAATTTATAGTTGTTTCTAAAACAGACTATCAAAATCAAAGTCAGAATCTTCAATACAAACGTCAAGACAGTTGTACTATACGGAGCTCAAACGTGGAGAACTAACACAATCATCAATGAAAATGTACAAGTATTTATAAACAGTTTTCTACGCAAGATACTCAGTGTCCTTTGGCCGGATACCATCAGCAACAGCCTTCTGTTGGAGAGGATAAATCAGCTTCCAGCTGAGGAGGAAATTAAGAAAAGATGTTGGAAGTGGATAGGATACACATTACGGAAATCATCAAACTGCATCACGAATCAAGCTCTAACTTGGAATCATGAATAGGACAGGAAGAGGGGAAGATCAAGAAACACATTGCGTTCGGAATCGGAAGCAGATATCGAAAGAAGGAAGGGATTGCCCAGGATAGAGTTGGATGGAGAATGTCTGTGGGCGGCCTATGCTCCTTCCCAGGGAATGACAGGCGTAAGTAGGTTAGTTAGTTAGTAAGTTCAAAACAGACTAGTATAATCTGTTTCTGTTCCTAGCTGAATTTATACGTCGAACTTCACGAATGAATGGAATATTTTACTAAGCTATTTTTAAATTGCACTTCAAAATTCGAATTGTGTGTGAACACCATCCGATGTCTGCGAGAAAATTGTCCAAATTTTGGAAAACGGTTTAATTTTTAATCAGAGTAATATTTATGGTACTTCAACATTTAACAAGCGCATCATTCTAAGTCACAGCAAACGCAACATTTGAATTATTACAAGTGTTTGAGAATTGAGGTTTACTCCAATTTTTCTAATGTGTTCCAGTTAGAAATGTTTTAAAAGATTATTCTGCCGAGTAGACTAATCCAAAGTAAAGTCACTGCATTCATATTGATAATATATAGTGCCATGTTTAATTTGATAAATCTGTGTCAATATATGGTGAAGAGATATTACACTGACAACTTCGAGTGAAAAGTATAAAAAAATATAACTACTAATGTCCACGATAAACTCATCCCTACTTAAATCAATGAAGGTCCGATGCTAAATTCCTTTCTTTATGACTTTAGATCATTATAACTTTGTAGCCCATATAAAGTCAAAGACAGCTGTTTAATATTCACCATTATTTCTGTGGTCACTGATTCTGAAGTCAATGAAATGATGAGTATGAAGGACAACCTGAAAATTATAACCACGTTTTTAAAGACATCAGTATGCTTTTCAGTTATCAGTACAAATACTGTAACACAAATAAACATAAACAGATGATTTTTTTCTTTATTAAATAGGACATAATACACAAATCTAATTGATTACGTCTTGATTCGCATCAAATATGTTTGATGAGCACAATCTACAAAACAAGTAATTGCTTCATTTAGTTAACGTTATACTCACTGTGTAATGACATGTTTATCTATTTTAACCATCTTAAGAACTAAATCTTTATAAAGAACAAGCTATCAGTCATTACATTTTGAATTGCAAACAAAAATTCATGAGTTGACATCCTAAGTCTGATTATTCCATTACTATAGTATAACTTTACTATGTATATTATTGATATTCCTATTTTCACTTATTCTCAATGACCATCAGTAAGTCTATGCGGATAGCTCATGTGGTGATGTATCAAGATAAACATTAGTTACGACTTCGTATCATCCCATTAAAGACTTATTTAACTTCATATCCAATAGCAATATACTTTACTTTCAAAGTATTCTTATAATAACTTTTATAAACAATTAAGATAATTAAATTCACTTGGTGTTGGTTTAATTGTATCTTTCCATTGTTATTTAAGACTGCAATTGATCAGTCTCTTATTGGCATATGTGCATTCTGTGCGCATTAACTCGATATACCCTTAAGTCACAAGCTTTTTAAATAAAGATGGATAGTGGCAAGCAGTAGAATCAGGGATCAGTAGCTAAGTGGATAACACGATGGCAATTAAAGCGAACGGTACTGGGTTTGAGTCTCAGAGTGAACATCAACTTTAAGATGTAGGTACATCCATCTGACGAGTCCCAGATAGGACGAAACATGCAACCTGGATTCCACTGCTAAACACTATCCATCTTTTCTTAGTTCAGATAATTGTCTTTAATCCATACACATCTTCATATAAAAATAAGAAAAACATTATCGTCCCAAAATGATAATCAAAATTTATGTCTGCGCCGTAACTTTAGTTTTTTTCTTTTATACTACGTAAATTAGACGGATTAAATGTTTCAAATTCAATGACTAGTTTGATCCTGAAATTACATAACTCACCAATTCTTTGTTAAAGTATTATTTCAAGAAAAATGAAGCAGAACATTCTAATTTAGTTAGCCCTATCATGATGGCTAGCACAGATGATGTAATTTCTTTAAGATTTGCATTAAAATGACTTAATTAGTTATACATTACAGTAGAGTGGATATATATGCCACACGTGATTCAAACGCAAGACCTATTGATCTCGTGCACGAACGCTTAACCCCTAGACCACTAAACCAGCATCCACTGGCATTAATGTCTAACTTCAAATATTCCATCCAGTGCTTCCAGGTTTTTCATGATGTTCTAGTCTCAATCGACTCATGATCTCAACTATTAAATTACTGTCACATCCACAAAAACCCCTTTGTGAATAAAATTGATTGAATTTTCATTTCTGATAAATATTCACAAATCAATTTAGGATTTATAGTTGCTGAAACACAGTTTCAAACATTCACAGTTAAATGAGTGACATAATGCTTTTCAAGAAACATCCCGACATAAATTAGTGTTCCTTAATTTGTTGTATATATTTATCTAACCTATTTATCCCTTTATATTAATCAGAAACTAGTGTACTAGTTCTTATTGTGTACTGTACAAGATCTAAATCAGATCAGTATTGAATAATAGTAAGTATTAAGTAAGCATAAGCTTTTGAATTCTTTAACAATGAACTAAAATTATGTGCTTTGTTGAATGTGATCACATGATGTATACATGAATGGAATGATTTTAACTTCCAGTTTTAGAATCGTATTGTAGTTATTCAGTATTGCACAACAAATATGACTATTAAGACATAATTTTTTGTAAAGGAATAACAAAAGTGTATAGTTACTGGGTAATTATTTTGTCCCAAAATGAAACTCATTCAGAAAATACTCATCTATGACCTTATAAGGATAATCATACATCCAGATTTTGTACATTATGGTAAGCATCACATCCTTATACCCGTGAGTAGAAATTAAAGAGTTCATATTTTGAACTTTAGTTAAATTATTAGCATCATACAAACTACATTTGATCCGATTAACTGGTCAATCGTCTTTCTTATGACTTGACTCATTTCACAAACCATGGTAACTCAATGAAAATTATAGAAATATATTTAAAAACAAGTCACTAGTACGCATACGATTGTTAGATAGACAAGTATTTTGTTTCTTAAGCATATTATATTTAAAACATGTTTCTTTTGTTTGTTTTTGAAGTGTATGAATACTGAATATTGACGTTTATTATTATTTTGTTTCATCAAAGAATCCATCTCGAACAACAGAAGTGATCTGTATCTGTTCATTATGAACAATAACAAAGCAGCACAGCTCAGATCAATATAATTGGATAACAAACCTAATATTAGTCAATGTTAAGATCTGAAAACTAAACAGTTTCAGTTTGTTTCTTAAAAACCGAACATTTTTAATTCACATGGTGTTGTTTTACTTGTATCTTTTCATTGTTTTTTTAAGACTGCAATTGATCAGTCACTTCTTTGCATATGTATATCCTCTGCGGAATGCCTCGATATTACCTGAAGTGACAAGTTTTATAAGTAAAGATGGATAGCGGCTAGTAATGGAATCCAGGACGCGCGTTCACCCTACTCAGTAGCTAAGTGGATAACGCGATGGCACTTGAAGTGAACAGTATTGGGTTTGAGTCTCGGAGATACAGGTACATCTATCTGACGAGTCCTAAATAGAACGATACGCGCATCCTGGGTTCCACAGCTAACCACTATCCATCTTTGTTGATGAACATTTTTTAAGTTTCCATGTATAACATGTTTTTGTGATGCTATATTGATTATTCTCAGTAAGCATCACATGATCAACTCTGAAATCTTTTTATACTACTCACTCATTAATTGAATTCATCCTTTTAGTAAACATGTAATATATATATATCATAACTAAAGGGTAATGTGATTTATGTGTCAAATGAAAAGGAAGTTTGAGTTTTCATGACTTATTAATTAGGTTGTTTTAGTAAGTTTTAATAAACAGTGTCTTATGTTTATTGATATGAAGAGTAGGAAGTTTTGAATTCCTTGTAAGCAGTTTTATATTTGTAAACTCAAAAAGCTTACGTACCTTCGATTCATTGAATTCTCCCGTACCAGTGACACAGTTAAAATATTATCACTGAACTAGTTGTTTTAATAAATGATTTGATTGACTAATACAACATGTAATTTTCCAGTGATCAATGTAATCAATGCCTAGAAAATTTAACCTTCATTTTCTTAAGTTTGTCATTATTGTCAAGAACATTTATGGTCATAAATAGGGTGTTTGGTTTATAAATTATCATACACTTTGTAATTTTAATATCATATTCTCACATTTGTTCGCAGTCTTCCCTGTCTTCAAACACTGGTTGATAGATCCGGCAACATAATATATTCAATGCTTATACTCGATCTCATAAAACTCTATGTTTAATTAGGTCAAATTAAAAGAAACGAATTTATCATATATATGGATAGTTGGAAAAACTGTATAATTTACTCATGTATATAACCAAAAACAAGGGAAGAACTTACCAATGATAAGGTTTTGTTTATTGCATAATTCATTATTTTGATCATGAATGTTTATACTGTCAGGAATTTGATCTTCTTTTGATCTGTTATAAGAATTACATTTTCTATATCTCCCAAATACATCAGAACAATTAACATTAGTCATATCAATAGGAACATCATCGGTAACGGAAGTTGAAGTTGGTGTATACACTTGTTGGACACGATTTTGCTCTTGAGTAGTGGATTTTGTCAACCATGATATCTGTAATCTATTCGATTTTACTGTTGATATTTTATCACCGTTTGCATTAATTTTAACTGTATTCGGAATATTACCATTATTACTATTATTATTACTGTTGTTATTAACACTATTATTACTATTACTGATACTGTTACTAAGACTAAGATTATTCCTGTTACGTAAGTTGTCAACAAGCCGATTGAAGATTGATTTAATATTGTAGATGAATGATGAATTTCCTGTACATTCACTATTACTAATAATACCATTTGAAGAATCTATTTGACACTTATCTTTTACAGATAAATTAAGATGTTCATTATTGCATAATATTTGATTTGGTGTAAAAAAATGTCCAGTAGATGAATATGATTTCGATAACGGTGGTGGTGGTGGCGGTGGTGGTAGAGGTGAAGGTGTTGTTGTTGTCGATGATGATAATGATGTTGACGATAAATTTTCACCTTCCATTTTTTCACATGTAAATAATTTATGATTACGAAATTTTGAATAATATAAAGGTGATGTCATAGGTGTTATAGAAGTTAATGTCGAAATAGGTGACATGGATTCAGATGAATATAGATCATCATGGAAATTTTGTTTTATATGATCAATACAATGTAAATTTGATTGAAATTGTATATCATTGAATTGTGAATTTTTTAATCGATAAGGTAATATAGTAACAGATTTTGATGTTCTTTTAGATATTTGTACAATCTCATGATTATTTTTATCATGTTCATGAAATAGTTTACAATGTTTTTCATTCTTCCATGATTTTGAACGACAAATAGGTTTTTTAGTCTTAGTTTGCCCAGTTGATAACATTATTATTATATAAATGTATGGTTCACAAGTTGATACTTAATTGATTGATTTGACTAGAAGATATGAAAAAGTAAATTTTATTTGTTTATGTTTCGTTTTCTTTCTTCAAATTAATAATTTTTTTAAAAAAAGGTACATAAAATAATACCCGGTTACTAATCGTTAACCGTTAATTGATGAAACGTGAAATACATTTAGTATTAAAGAATTAACACGTTAATAAAAAAAGAATATTTTAACTTAATCATTTTAATAGTTCATATTGTAAAACGTGATCAGTAGACCTGTAGAATATTTAGGAAATATATATATTATTTTGTCAGCAATGATGGATAGTGGCTAGTAGTGGAATCCAGAACACACGTTTCGTCTCATTTGGGACTCGTCAGCCGGATGTACTTATATCTGGGTTGATGTTCCCTCTGGGACTCGAACCCAGTACCATTCGCTTCAAACGCCATCACGTTATCCACTCAGCTACTGAGTCCTGATAGCCACTTGCTTGTGCAATGGGGTGAATTTAAATTGCAGTCTTGAAACTCAATGGGAAGATAGAAGTAGAACGACACCAAGTGAATTTAGATTCGCCCCATTGCACAAGCAAGTGGCTATCGGGACTCAGTAGCTGAGTGGATAACGTGATGGCGTTTGAAGCGAATGGTACTGGGTTCGAGTCCCAGAGTGAACATCAACCCAGATGTAAGTACATCCGGCTGACGAGTCCCAAATGAGACGAAACGCGTGTTCTGGATTCCACTACTAGCCACTATCCATCATTGCTTACAAAAAGCTTGTGAATTAAGGCAATATCGAGGCATACGATCAGTATGCACATATGCCAATAACAAACTGGTCAATTGCAGCCTTAAACCTCAATGGGAAGATACAAGTAAACAATACAAAGTGAATATATATATATATATATATATATATATATATATATATATATATATATATATATATATATATTACTTTGATAATAATCAATGGCCTACTTGAATATCTGGGTTACCTGTTCCTAATATCCACATATCTCAACAAGTCACCTGTCTATAGTTTCATACACATAGTTCCGTTTATCATGTTGAAAAGTGCAAGAACAAAGATTTAAGCAGAATAGCATCAATTCATTTTACTGGTTCTTGTCAGGTGCTTACAACCTGTGATATTTCAAATCATGATTACATAATGGGTTTAAATTATTTACATGAAAGGTTTTAGTTGAAAGTTATATTGAAGATATAGTAGTATAGCATAGCAATATTTTAAATATATACCTTATATGAGAGAGCATTCTACAACATTGATTGTGACAACAGTTCAAATGGCCGCAAACAAGTGAATAAATATTGATAGCAATAAGGTGAGTAGAGCTCATTTGATAGTTGAGATAACAGCTAATGATGTAATAAATGCAAGAAGGAGTTTAAAGAAAAAGGAAAAAGATTAAGATGTCGCGAAGGAATATTTGTCACCAAGGCAAGGAAAGATTAATAACCATCTCATTTTGAACAAACAAATCAGGTTTTTGACACCTGATAGCAACAGCTTCAGCAAACTTCAGAAAATTGGAGTTTACCTGATTATTAATCACCTTGAAGGATTAAAAGGTATCGACTTGGTGTCAAAGATGTTTGGTGATTACACTACTTAAAGTCTTTCTTTCTCTTGTTCTAAGGCTTTTTGGAACATGTCTTTAGTTTGTTTTAACACATCATTATGTCTATGAATCGCATGATCTATTTAGGTGCGTTTATGGAAATTTTACAATCTTACAAAAAAGTACAATCAGAGACATTGTGATAGATGTCAATATGCATTGAAAAGAATATACATTATTCAGATGTTGATTCTTGAATTGCTAACATTTAACTGGTAATCACTCAATATATTTTGCAAAGATCGATCAAGAAATAAGAGGAAACTTGCTGAAATACTTTCTATATTTTACCAAAAATATAATATTGAATAAAACCACTAATAATAATAATACAAAACTCTTTGTTTAATATTGTTAATTATAGTAATGAATACTTGGTGAGACTATACTTTGTGAACGACCTTTGAGCGACGCTAGACTGACCTTGAGTATCCACCTAATAACTAAGATCAAACGAGGGTTATAAATTATTGTGAGGAATTCGGATGATGATTTACAGTTAGGGTTTTCATCACAAAATGACATCAGCTATAATGCCAAAACTCCATTTAACCTAATGGATGAGTGAATATTGCGCCAAAATCCTATATCTATTATCTTATATATGAATGATTCATTCATAAATTTTAGTCTCACCGTAATCAACACTTAAATCATCATAGAACAAATATAGAAAAATAGTTACCTGTACAATAGATTATAAACATTTTATATAAAACAACTAATAGTATACTGAAATATCATTTATAATTAAACAATTGAAACAATTATAAAGTAAGTAATTTTATGTTACTAAATACACGTTCTAAATATTAAAGTATTAAACATCCTTTCAGAACTATTAATTATTATGTGAACATATTCATTTCATTCATGATAGTCATGATTAAAAGTTCAATGAAGTCATAATACGTGTTTAAGTAATTACAAAAGGGATAACATTTGGTAACAACGAAAATTTCGTCCTTTAAAAGAAAAAAACTGTCTTAATTTTGATCATGAATATGATATTGAATATGTAGTTGTTGAGATGTTTGTCTAGTATATTGGTTTAGACTTATCTTAAATGGTTGGGGATAAATAAGTGAAAGAGTTAGTCCCTGATGCCAATGATTGGTGAATCAATTATTAATTTAAAATATTCCAGTTATTCATACTTTAAAAGGGTTTTAATCGTGCTTATTTTTGTGATAAATATCATATTTGTTACGCAATCTTCACGTAACTAAATGTTATTTCGTCTATTTTCAGATTATCAATTCATTGAACCAAATCTTAAAAACTATGTTAATTCTTCAAATTAAACACAGTCTCTCTTATGAAATAATTTCTGCCTAATCCTTTTTTTTGCTTTCTATATCTATGTTTGAACGATCTTGGGTAAGTGAAGTACGTGATAGCGTTTAATGAGAACGGTACGGAGTTTGATTCACGGAGTGAGCATCAACTCTTAGATGTAAGGCACATCCAGCTTATGAGTCCAAAATAGGACGAAATGCGCGTTTTAGTTTTCACAGTTAGCCACCATTGATCTCTGCTAATATTTGTTATGACGTAAGACAATATTGATGAGATCTGTACAGGATGCACATATGATAATAAGAGACTGAACAGTTGCAGCCCTAAATGTCAATGGGAAGATTCAAACAACAAATAAAAATGACACTACACATGTTATATATATATATATATATATATATATATATATATATATCACTGATTGAAATCATGAGTCACTTGAAGCTAAACTCCTTCTGATAATAATCACCTGCTCACTGGTGACTGACTTCAAGAGATACTCATGGAGTTCTAGTGAGAAGCCGTTACCAGTGGAGTTCAACCAGGTCTGTTGTGAGATATCAACTCACTGAAGGCTGGTGTACGGTGGTGAAACTTCGTGGAGTTATTGAAGGTAGACATTAACACCGTCGGATGCCGGCCAGTTCAGTGGTCTAGTGGTTAGGAGCCTGGCGCGAGACTGATAGGTCATGAGTTCGAACCTCGCGGGAGGGCAGGATCGTGGATGCGCACTGCTGGGACGAAACCGCCGTCCAGTGCTTCCAGGTTTTCCACGGTGGTCTAGCTTCAATTGACTCATGATTTCAATCAGTGAACTTTCTAAAATCTCCACAAAACCCCTTCTGATATATGCATATATATAATAGTGATAATTTCATAGTCACATCTTTAGTCGCCACTTTTGTTATTTAATATTATGTTTCAACTGTATTATATTTCAATACGATTAAGGTGGCAAGCGATTGATGAAAAACTACCAGATCCCTAGTGGAACTGCTAAAGATTCTCGTACAGGAATAAAACAGCTTTCTAATAACTGACTGTTTACACTGGTTATTGAACTGAGACTAGTACAACATTTAATCTATAAAAAAATTCACAAATCTCATATAACGAAGACGTATTTATTCTAATGTTATACCATTGGTGCCCATAATTGTTGAGTGCAACAAAATTCATATTATTGAATAAAACTATTATTATTATTATTATTATTATTAATAACAGAAACGTGGTACATGATTGAATTTCAATATGACAGGATTATTATACAATGAACCTCCATTGTTTAGAACAAGGTCATTAATCATATTTACATGATTATTTTGAATTCTTAATTTATGAATTTTATTTTTAAAGTACAATTTTATGTCATTGCAATTTACTCCATTCTTCAAGTGATTCATTTATGTGTGATTGTTTTTACAACACATAGGTAAATGATAACAATTTCACGGTGTATGCTACTTATACTGACAGAAATAAGTAGTATGTAACATCAATCGGAAATAGAATACCTGGTAGCAGAGTATTGAATTGAAGAGAACAAAAGAGAAATCGGATAGGAATCAAAATAACACAAGAATTAGAGGAATAATGAAATATGTAAAGGACAATACAAAGAACATGTGCAAATAATGTATTTAATGTATAATTGTTGTATTTCACAAATACACTGTATAGTTTTGCGTATAACAATAAATTGGTTTTCCCTATCTGGGTTCTCGTTCACTACAGTTTGACTGACTGATTTAAACAGCCTAATAAACTGAAACATCTGATCAATATGTTAGTTAATATTGTATAAAAATCAATAAATTGAGTAGATAAGGAATCATAACTTAAATATAAAGTTAATGACTAACGAGTAGGTTAACAAAATAAATTTCCTTAATGTTCACATGAAGATGTAGAATGTCTGCCTTTGTCTCAAAATTATTAATAGTGGATCATGTTACGTGTGAATTGGAATCACTGACGTCTATGAATATAACTATTGAATACTGAAGAATAACTATAAGTGATTGTATAATATTTTTCAAGTGTAGGCTCTCTTGATTGCAGTTCTATCAAGGCTTCTTCAGTTT